CACACACACACACACACAGACAATAATTTTGCCATTATAGAATAATAAATTTTTATGTATCATACGCGCTATAAAGCTTTATTACGATTGACTGATTGAAATTAATGAATTATTGGAATTAAACTTGATCATCTTTTAGTTGTTTATATTTTATTGGGTCAAGTTTGAAATTAATTGCGATAGCATCCATCGAGATAGAAGCAAAAGAAGAGAGGATAGAAGAAAAGCATAATAAAAGGGAGGAAAAAAAAACGAAAATTGAAAAATAGTGCTTATTGTTTATTTCACATGAAATGAGGAAAAATTAATTTCAAGTTTGTTATACCTGTAATTTCTGTTTTCCTTCTGCTTTCTTTTTCTCGCTTTTTCTCATTTAGAATTTTACTTTTATGTAATTTAAAAATTCTGGAAAAAAAATTTTTTGGAAATTTCTTCTCGGTATGTGTGATTCATCATCGTTTATCGGTTTGAAAACGGGCAAATGCACTGTATCATCGTCAGTTTATGTAAATAAATTAGTCGACTTTTGAAAGTAAAAAAAGATAAGTCTAAAATGCCCAGTACTATTGTATAATTTAGAAAATTTGTTATTTAAAATTTAAAGATATTAGGAGGATGTAAAAGATTTGAAATGTCACAAAATGACATCATTATATATGGTAGGAAAACTGATAAAATAAAATTTTTGAATTTCAGATTAAACTTTGAAATTTTCATAAAAATATAATAAAAATAATCTTTTTTGATCAATTATTAATGTATATTGTTTATAATTTTACTCTTTTTTTTCTTTTTTTTCGTTGGAAAAATTCAGGATTAAAATTTGCGGAATTCAAATTCATATTTTTTTGTTTTTTATCGCTCAAGTTTAATTTTTAATAAGTATTGAACAACCAAAATATATTGTTTCACATTTAAAATTTTTAAGTTAAGCATTGTTTATTTTTTCTCGTTATTTTTGCTTAACTTTGTGTGAAGAAAAAAGAAAAAGAAAAAGGAAGAGGAAAAAATAATGCTTCATCCGTTACTGCACTTCTTCTCTCTTTTTTTAAAAAAAATTTTTTTTTTTTCATACTTCCTTTTTTTCCTTTCTTCCTATTTCAAATTATGTTATCATTATCATAACTTCCGCCTTTATTTTTTTTTTTGCTTCTATAAAATGGAATGAAATATTTCGTTTTAATTTTCATGCGATAAGTCAATTTCTTTTTCTTTTTTTTTTTGATTTATTTTCGGATTATATATTCTGTTTGTAATATTTGTAAAATGATGCTAATATTTACTGTTTAAAACATTCAAGGAACAGAAAAAATCTTTTTTAAAAAATTAAATAGGAATAGTTGAAATGGTTCAGATGAAGGTAATTTTTCACTAATTAAAAAAATAGCTAAATTTTATATTTCACTTTTAAAAAAAAACAAATTATCTTGTAACAAATGATGAATAGTAGTGATTGGTAGATTTTGGAACTGGAATAATAAATCGCACTAATTACAGTAATTTTGGTATTAAAGTTCGAATTATATTACAGTGGCAATTGGGAGTTTTAACTGACAATGTTGTAACTAATGCTCATCATCATTGCTGACAAAATAAATGATTATTACTCAATCATTTCAAATATTGGAGTATTAAATATTTGAAATGTAAAAGTTTCAAGTTTAAAAATTTAATGAGGAACTATGAGACTAATTTCATATGAAATTGAGTCCAAAAAAAAAAA